AGCCAATCAATGACTCTCATCATTGATGTTTCTGTCTCTCTCTCCCTCTCTTTTCCTCTCTCTGAAATCAATGAAAAAAAATACACTAAGATGGGTGAATTTTATTATATGCAAATTATGCCTTAATACAGCTGTTAAAACATTTTAAACATATAGATAGTTATGCTTAAAGAATGACTGTATATTTATCTCTTGTGGTGGGATTGGGTGCTTTTTATTTTTGTTTCTTTGCTTATTTAAATTTTGTAAAATTTCCATAATGATTATCTTGTGCTTCTGTAAAGAGAGAAAAAACAACAATAAAATGCCATAAACATAAATAATTGGGTTAGTCAACAAGGAATTTATCATTGAGTCAACATTGTTTGCTTGTAATGAAGCCCATTTGGTTCACCCCCTTCTCATCTATCTTTCCTCAGTGGCACTTCTGAGGGGTGAGCTGAGGAAATGGATGCAAAAAGGTACAGAGCTTAATAGCAATGCTTTGTCCGTCCAGTTCTCGGTTTGGCTCTCGCCTTGACTTTTGGATGAATACACAGTAGGCTAATGATGGGGGGCTCCCATCCTACTTTGCCAACCCCGCCCTTTATTCCAACCCAAATCAACTCACGCGTCCTCCAGGCCCCAAGAGAAAGTCCTCAGCATAGGGCTGGGCAGATTGTGGTTTGTGGGGTCCAGGCCCAGCGCCCGTCTCCAGCTCGCGTTGGTCTGTTGAGTGTTGCATGGTCTTGGTGAAGTCAAGAGGCCATTCATCAGCAGAGACCCATGATTAGCACCACCTCTCAAGCTGCACATGGCAGGACAGGACATGGAGTCCCTCCAAGAGCCCCTCTGGGGAGGGGGTACTCAGTGTCAACAGGCCTCTGGTCCTGTTCCTCCATCCTCCATCCAATTCATCTTCTGACTTTCCACCCCTGAGAGGGCAGTCACCTTAGGAGACCTGACTAGCTGGTAGGCAGAGGATGGCATGCCTGGAGAAGTCCGCACTGCTTGTCCCTGCATGCCTGGGGTAGCTGGACAAGGCCTCTGACAGGGCCCAGGTATCAGGACACAGGAGCCTGGTGAAGGTAATAAAGCGACACTTATAAAAATAGCTTCATAAAATATCCAGTGGAGAGAACATAACAATTTTCCAGCCACTTTAGTTAAGAAGTAAAACCCAGTAGGAGCTCAGAGCAGCTGGGGTGGGCATGGGAGGGAGACAATCATAGCGTCCCTTCGACTCTGCTTTGTCACCCGTAAAGGCTAAGGTGGGAGAAATCCCAGTTCCCAACCTGGGGTCTCTGTCCTCAGGGTTCACACAGGCACCATTTTCAGGAACTTAAAACTCCAGCATCTTAAAACTCCACACATTATTCATAATAGTCAAAAGGTGGAATCCATCCAAGTGTCCATTGACAGATGAGCGTGTTAGTGGCGGAAAAAAATGGCGCCAGGCGTTAACCTCGGTGCAGCAACTTCAGTTCTTGAGTTCTCGCTAAGAGAAGACTTCAGAGCCAAAACTCAAATTATAAGAGAAAGTTTATTTATAAAGTCACAGAGGTAGAAGAAGTAAGTGGTAGAAATGGGCTCAGGAAAGAAGTTACAGCAAAAGAAGGTCCCCACGGATTGGTTGGCACCAGGCGAGAGGGTCATTAGCCACTGCAGCCGTTGATGTCAGCCGCGGCGTGGCTCCCGCTCTGGCTGGTTTTGCTGCTTCTCTGGGCCTGGAACTGAAACGCAGCTGAGGCCTCGATGTCATCTCCAGGGGTTAATACCTAAGGGAATGGCTGTGCAAGGGCTTGCAATTTTGCCTGTTGCTTGGCCCCTGAGGCTCTAGGCCCTGGCGACTCTCTGCCCCTGGCCCATTGTTCCTGCTCTGCTCGTGCCTGTCTAACTGCCTACAAGTGGATTAACAAAACGGGATCTATTCAGCCTTAAAAAGGAACAAAGGACTGATACCTGCTACAGTAGGCATGAACCTTGAAGACGTTATGCTGAGTGAAAGATCAGTCACAAAAGACAAGTACTGGATGACTCCTTTTGTATGAGGTGCCTGGAGTAGCCAAATTCACAGAGATGGAAAGTAGAGTGGTGGCTGCCAGGGGCTAGGAGGAATGGGGAGCTGTTGAATGGGTACAGAGTTGCAGCTGGGGATGTTAAAAAAAGTTCTGGAAACCGTGGTGATGGTTACACAATGATGTGAAGGCACTTAATGCCCTGAACTGTACCCTTCAAAATCACTAAAATAGCAAATTTTATGACGTGTATATTTTACAACATACACAAAAAAACAAACACTCCACAGGTGCCCACAGGGCCTCATCCCCTTATAAAAGCATCGAGTCACGCCTGTTACCATTCAGATCAAATCTCTAAATGGGCAGACATAGCCTTTGATTGCTTTTTATAAAGACATAAAAGTAACAGCAAAATGTATCCATTATGACCTAGTGCAGTTTTTTGGCAGGCACTATCTTTCAAAGCGTGGCATCTTTGGGGGGACATATAACAAAGGGGCATTGATGGAAAAGTTGGCTTGGGTGAGGGTCCTGATCCCCCCCCCC